TCTGAAAGTAAAAGGCGGATAGTAATGTCGATGAAGGAATCATTCTCGGGTGACCTCTGATTTTAAATCCAAATTTGAAACAAATCGTCCTGTAGTTTCGGAGAAAATGCGCGGACGGCGGACGGAAAAAAAAATTATTCGTTTTTCGAATTTATCCTGAAATGTAAAATCTCAAATTTTGAGATGGGCTCAAATTTTTTAGTCGATCACAATGTTTCATTATTGAAAATAATAAACTAAATTAAAAATAACTGCTACCTGATTATTTATCCTATTATTTATACTAAACGTGATATCTTCAATCAATAAATATGTACTCGCATTTACATGATTGCACTATTTACCATCGTGTGATGACAGACGAATATACATACAGATATACAATATACGAATATACTGGCAACAATGATAATTATCAGCTTGATCTTTATATATAACGAATAAAAAGTATTCATAACGCTATGTTACGATCAATTAGCAGTTTACTGTTCCTGTTACTCTAAATTCAAATTTTCCTTAGCTACTATAATTATTATATCTGTCATGGATTCGCGTAATGCATATTTAACTTTGTACGAATAGCAATTATGCTTATAGATCGTATTATGTTGCAATCTCAGTAATCTAAACTTCAGTAGTCCGAATACTCCACTAATCCGAACTATCCTAAACAAAAAATGGAGAGCTTTAGAAGAAAGAAAAAAGTGAAAAAGCTGAAAAGTGAAAAACAAATTCTAACTTAAGATGTTCTATTTTTGGGGATTTCATCTTTTTTTAAATAAAAATATTATAAGAGTAAATTCTACAGAGGAAGTGTCTCATTACAATTATTGTATTCGATTAGCAATAGAGAACAAAGTTCTCCTCTAATGTCCAACAAGAGAAGCCGTAAATGTTACAAATTAACCACTTTTCTCTCATTTTTAATTTTATAATGATTAGAGATGGATGACCGTGATAAGTATGAAAAGTTGCGGTCGTGGGTCAAATAATACTAAAATAAAAATGGTATTTAATTATTATTTTTCTAATAATTATGTATTTTTCAATTATAAATATTAACTTTTTAAAATTAGTTTCAGACCGACCGCTCATCGGAATCCTTTCATATATTTGAACTGTTGATTTATTTAAATATCTCAAGTATGAATAACGTTGATTTTCTGTATATGTTAATTTGAAGTGAAAAATTTTGGCGCGTTTTGCAATTTTTTAGTGGAGAGTGAATTAGAAGATTGAGCCGTCAGATATCCGATGTGTAAAGCTCTTGAAAAGTCTGCTAGAGTCGATTTATTGAAGCGTTTTTGCATATGGATTAAAATATCTCAAAAACTAAAAATCGGACCTGCATACTATAAGCGAGGAAATTGTTCAGCATTTCATCTTTTCTGTAATAGTTATTTATTTAAAAGTGTATCTTGTTCAAAATTGTACGAGTCGAAAACCAAATGATTACGACTTTTCTGGAATATATGGATTAAAATATCTCAGAAACTAAAAATCGGACCTGCATACTATAAGCGAGGAAATTGTTCAGCGTTTCATCTTCTCGGGAAATTATTTATAATTTATATTTCAAAATACCAATCTCGTTTTGTTCATGTTTTCACTTTTATCGTGTGGGGTAAAGCACACGCCTTAGTTTTTGTTTGGTGTTGTATATGCTTGTACTCAGTCATGTTTGTTGCATTGTATTATGATGCAGTATAAATTAAGATTAATTACGATTTTCCATTTTAATCTATCGGATATCTATAGCAAAGATAGAGAGAACACGACTTTAGAGATCTAGTAAAAGTGGCAGTAAACACGAAGATGGCCACAAAGTGTCGCTGCCGTTATAATAATTACGCCAATAAAAGTCTTATAGTAGGATCGTAAATCATTTCTGCGGTGGGGGAGCGGATGCAGGAGGCGATGCAAGTCATCTTTATATATTGAGCCTATTCCGGTCTCCTTTTCGGCTCCTAGCGGCTTCGGACAGTAGTCTCCATTACACTCATACCGGTCAGCAATTCGTTGGTTTAGATTTAAAAATTCGTAAATTTACTAACCTTAAATTATTTATATTCTTTAGGAGAGCTCTAACATAACATATATATATTTGGAATACAGGTATAGTATGAATACAATGTCGATACATTTCATTTTTTTTTATGAGGGGCAAAGTTGAAACTTGCATTCCACTTCTCAAAAACTTTCAAATACGAATTTTCAGCCCTTTTCGCCGAAAATTATTTTTATTCATTTATATGTTCCGTTTCGGGATATTACACCCCCATCTTCAGGCTATTATCTCATATCCTCTCATTTATCTATAAAAAAATTTATTATCTTTAATATGAAGGGTGTGTCTCAAGTAGGGGAAATTATTTAAATGATTCGTAGTAGATATCGAGTAGTATTGGCCAAATGCGAGACCGAGACAAGTCTTGGTCTAGCAAACTCACTCTTGGTCATGGTCTTGGTCTTGCGCAAGAGTCTTGCAGTTACTTATTAGCTTATTACTGTAGAGATATCACTGTAGTTTTTTTTAGATAGAAGAAACCTAACTAAGCCCGAACGAAAAATTAGAGGAGTTTAATGCAAAAGTATATTGGTTATGCCAATCATTTACATATATTAACTAAGATTATCAAGTATTAGTAACTATTTTGCCTCAATTTTTATTCATAAAATCGATCTGTTTTACCAGTCCTGGTCTTGGTCTTGCACCAGTTAAGCGTTGAAGACCAATTTTGGGCAAAAATAATACCGAGATCTACAAAACTAATAAAAAAGTTCATATAAACAATTGCCCAATTTCTAGTAGAAAAGTATAAAAATTAATGATTTGTCTTTTTTAAGCGAGTCACGGTTTTTGTTGAAAAGAAAGCAATAACATAAAAAAAAAAAAAAATTATTTAAGTAACATTGCTCCATAATAAACTAGACAAAATTTTCTTTAAATGAAAGTAGAGTTTGTCATTTTTGAAACTGTATAAAGAGGCGGACAAACACAGTTTCGTTTAAAAAAAGGCACAATTATTTGTGTTTTTTTTTTATTACCTTAACTGTACTAAATTTATCCCACTTTTAAATAAACTTCCTGGTTTAATAAGCTTTAAGTCTGAATTAAATTAAAGTAGTAGTTTTATCAGGAAAAATTTTAAATGTCACCTCAAATTGTGTAAAGAAATTATGTGATTTCCTATCCAGTACCTTAAAAGTATTTCTGTTTTCTGCAAAAATGAATACAATGAATTTAATCACTCCCCCAATGAATGTATCGAATAAGCTCACTGTAATAAGAGAAGGTTACAATGTAAAATTAAGGTGTGTTTATTAAAAATAATGAAAAATCTTATGGATAAATGATAGGACATAAGATAATGTTCTGAAGATGGGATGTAAAATCTCGCAAAGTAACATATAAATAAATAAAAGGAATTATGGGAAAAAAACGCTGTCAGATTTAATATACCTCATTACAAAATAATCTTCCTTAAAAACAAAAATTTTTTTTGTTTAGAAACACAAATAGTGTGATAACTTTAACAGGCCACCTACCCAAACGAAAATTATCAGGAATTTAGGACCACTTAAACTACAAGAAGTCAGATCATATTATTTTACATAAACATTTTGTTTTATTTTAACGATTTTAAATAAACTAAAATCATTATAGAACTAAAGATACAAAATAAAATATTTGAGTAGTTCTGATTCTATTAATTTTCAATTACTGATGTCATTTTTCTAAAAGGGGTCTATAACTAATATATTATATATTATGTAGATTTTAAATATTTTTCAGTAAATTTATGAGTGAATTATTTTCGAACTAGTTGGCCTCAGCGAATAATTCACACAGTATGTTGGTCTGCAAATAAATTGAAATATAAATAGATAAAATGTAGTTTTATTTCAGAAAGGAATTAATTTTAATTAAAAATAATATAAAAAGCATGAGTACAAATTATAATTAGCAGTACCTATGCTTAGATCTGATTTTGCTACATTTTTATTAATTAATCTTTAATTAATAATTTTTATTAATTAGTAATTAAGAAATCTTTCAAATCATAATGTATATGATGAACCGTAAATTGTATATTTTTTTAGTTATGCCCGGGTGATTTCATTTTCATCGTAATTTGTTTTTCCTGACTTTTCTAGGAGATTCATGAAGAATTAAGGAAGGTATGGAGTACCGACAAAAAAACGTCTTTGAGAAATAATTATATCAAGATAGGCTATAAATAGTTCATCAGAACAATACTGGGTTCATGATTGTCTTCGTCGTATCTGAAATAAGATTTATCTCGCCTGAATCCGTATACTTTTGAAATCATATATTTTATAACTTACTAATTTTTCCAGGAAGCTTTATTATAATTAGTAGTAGTAATTAGTAGTATGTGATTAATTTAAACTTTGAATTTGCGCAATAGTCTCGCAACAGTCTTGCAGTTACGAATTAGATTTTTACTCTAGAGATATACCGTAATATTTTAGATATGGGGAACTTAGCCTAAGGAACTAAGCCCGAATGAAAAATCAGAAGAATTAAATGCAAAAGTATATTGGTTAGACCAATTCTTTACAAATAGTAACTAAAATTGTCAAGTATCAGTAAATAATTTGCCTTAATTTTTATTTAAAAAATCTATTTTTTTTTACCATTCTTGTTCTTGGTCTTATAAGAGTAAGGCGGTCGTTTAGACCAATTTTGGGCAACAATATTTACAATAATTAGTACTGAATCCAAGATCCTTCATGGGTTGTAGTTGTACAGATTTACAATAATTATGTTCATTATATTAATTATTACTCATAATTTTTATACATAATATAAACTCCCGATTTTTTTTTTTTTTTTTTTTGGGGGGGGGGTTTAGGTGTACATCCTCTTTCCCTAAACCAAAATGGAAAGCCAGTGCCTATGGTGTCAGATTTTGTTCAAGTCGTGTGAACTTTTGAACAGGTGATGAATGTTCGATAACAGTGCCTCATGTAGTATGGAAATCGTAGCAATGGCAACAGCTACAGGTAAACAATTAATCGGTGTAAAAGGTTCCCAAAAACAAAACCGCGATATCATCTGGCTCAGAGGAAGTGGGCAGGAATACTTGACAACAGAGAGGCTGGACTACAGATCGTGGGAACTCGCTGCACTAGATTCAGCAGCTGCCGTTCTGCATCGCCGGCTATACTGCACCTTGTCTCTCTCCAGCTCCAATCTCCCTCTAGCCATCTATATATTAATATGGCAATAAACAACTAATTAAATTAATCATAAAGAAAGTTATTTTCTAATACAGGATTCAAAATTTGGAGGGATAAATCGAGTTGGGTCCCTAATTCCAAAAATGGCGCGAATCGGGGTTTTCTACTCCTCATAAATTATTTTTTCGTTATAATTTCATTTAATTTATAATTATAATCTTGATTTATTAATTGGAAAAAAAAATGACTTGTTTAAGGAAAAATATTTATACTTCTTTTTGAAATATTCGATACATCTTCTCGAAAATAAAAATATTAATCACATAGTGAAAACATTTTAGGCTACAATTGGAAAAGTCTAGAGGAGTGCGAACATCAACAACGTTCTCTTGTTACCCTACCTTGAGTAGAAATATTTTATTTTTTTAATTAGTTTCATTTAAAGAAATATTGAATAACGTGATTATTAAATGTAAAAAGAAAAATAATCTCATTTACACATTTATATGTTAATTAAAAATACGTTTATGTAATTTTAGAATAGAATAGAATAGAATAGAAAAATAATTTTACTCTGGGGCGAAGTCCCTTTAGAATAACAAAAAAGTACAAAATTAAAGTATCATATCTGGCCTAAGTAAAAACAAACATAAAAAGTAAAAGTAAAGAAAATATTAGTTAACATACTATATACAAAATAAATAAAAAAATCTATATACAAAACACTTGAAACTATGCCGAGATACTTAAAACTATGTACAGTGGTATAACATAAGCATACACTTTGAAAAAAATAAATAAAAAATGCATTACATTCTTCTTAGCAGTAAACTCTGTGTTTCTGAAGAAAGAAAAAAGAAGACTAATCTGACAGTAAGTATTTAAGTCATGAATTATATGTAAATATACAATTGTGTGAATCATTTCGAATAATATATAAACTTACATAAAAGGTTAGCGGGGGGTGTCTGACTGTTTTTGGGATAGAAATTGGAATAGGAGAGTTTTAAATGTAGATAGGGAGGGAGAATGCCGAATTTTGATATGAAAGGAATTCCAGAAATTAACTGAACGAGTAATAAACGAGTTTTGGAACGAGGCAGATCTGTGAGAAGGAATGTAAAGGTCGGAAGGTCGAGATCTTGTGTAAAGGGAGTGGACTGAGGACTTGAATTGAGAAGGTTGTAGGCGTAGGAAGGACGATGATTGTTGATGATTGAATAGAAGAACGTACCTAGGAAATATTGTCTTCGAATGGAGGGGAAGAGCCACTTTAACTCAGTGTAGTGGTTAGATAAATGAATATTTATTTAATACAATTAATTTTTTTTTAACAGATTATTATTATTTTTTTCATTTTCTTTTAATTTAAATTGCAAATTGTTCCTTAAATGGACATGAGTCATTCCAACCTATGCATGAATATATATTTTTTTTTTTTCTAAATTACAGTTACATTTTACTGAAACCTAGTTAGGGAAAATATTAATGTCAATCAAAATAAGAAATAAAAATGTCCTGATTTAGATGAAAGAAACTAACCTACCTAATATTTATTGGTTCAAACGAGATGACTCCAATGACTTAGTGTAGGAAAATATCATTTACTATTTTCCTTTCCACGTTTTCGGCCATTCTGGGCTGATATTTAAATTATATTGGAATTTTATATAATCTATGTAAATATATGAAGTACTGTCACAACCAAGAGAGCTAGGGATCAAAATTAAATTATTTAATTTACGTAAAGAATTATATTTATTCTTTAATCAAAATTTTAATTTAATTCATAATTGCTATTCCCACACATGTATTTTTAAATTTATCCCAAGATAGACAAACTATATACCACGCGTATATCATTTCTAGTTTTTTAATATATTCTTACCCATTTCACTCCTTCTCTCCTCTGACCATTTCTGACGTTCTAGTTTCTTCGCCTCCGTTACAAGAACCTTTATGTTTATCACTATTTTTCTTTTCTATGTAGTCTTTCTCTCTGATTCCAATTTTTCTACTTCTTCTTCTTTTTTTTTGTTCCAGATATCCTTTTATAATCTACAGTCCCGTCACTTTATAAAATACAAATTTGTTTAACCAATTCCCATCCATTCTCTTCATATGTCCGGAGAATTTTGTTTCCTTTTTTCTCATCGAAGTTTTCAATATGTATTCATAATTCTTTTTTAATCGGTATTCTTCCATTATCTTTGTTGGCCAGTATATTATTCGCGGTATCTTTCTTTCAATGACTTTCCTTGAAATCCACTTTTTCTTATACAAATATACAAGAACCTTAATTTATCTAATTTTACTACCGTCCTCTGTATCGCTTCCATGGGCTTCCCAATTAAAGTTCACGAATTCTCCTCAGTATTTCAACTATTTCACCGACTTGATTTTTCCGTATTTAGTTTCCATTTTTTCTCTTGTACCTTTATCATTAATCATTATTTCTTTTTAATCGACATTAACCCAGCTCTTTCATTTAGTTTGTTAATCTGGCCATGAGAGCTAGATCATCCCCACAAGTTAGGCACCTGATTTTTACTCCTTTTTATTTTTTTTTCTATCCTTGCACCAGGCTCATTGGATTTCCAAGATGTCATTATAATTTTATCCAACACTGTATTGAATAAAATTCATATAAATATATATTTATGTGAGAGTTCTATTTATTTATTTTAGGAATATTTGAAAATTTCAATCCATTAGAACCTCGATTCATTTCAACTGATTTCTTCATCCCCTAAATCAATTCTATATATAAACCTTGAAATTTATCCAGGTAAGCTTCATCTTATGGAAACTCTGCAATTTTTATAATAAAGAAAATTACTAACTTTATTATTTTTTTTTTTATGTGACAATATGTTGGAAATCATTTCTATGCCAAAAAAAAAAAAAAGAAGAAAAATACAAGGAGTTGATGGAAATAAAGCTGGTGATTATGAGTAATGAAGGCGGTACAAGGGAAGACCTTGCACGATCCAAATAGAACGACATCGTAGATCGATCGCTCCTTCTCATCTCTTCGACCTCAACTCATCTTTTCAAAGACTTCTCATGATATTAATAACCTCAACCAAGTAATCAATAGTAAAATTAATAAATAAATTTGTTTAAAAAATTAACAGTATCATCATACGTTACAGAAGTTCTAATAAATATGTAAAAACTGATGTCTGTAAATTTCTAAAGCAAAGGTAATGGGATAAATACCTTTCTCTTAAATAAAGGAAAATCCATAGGATTATTATTATTTCAATCTTTTATCGATAGAAAAAAATAAAAAAACAGGTCTTATATGAATTGATAATGATGATTATTCTTGAAGGAAGATAGTCGACTGTTCTACTTATTATGGGTGATAAATATTCGGGAAGCAGTCTTTTAAAAGAAAGTTTTAACTTAGTGATATTTTAAACAAGTTTTAGTTTAGTGATATTGGAGTTCTGGCAATGGCCAGATTCTCCACTCACGACATGAGTGTATGTGGCTAAAGCACTCTTGCTCAATCTCCACTGGATTTAGCCCTAGCGGTTGAGAGATGAGTGCAGGGAACTCCTGGAGTCATAATTTTCCCTCCACAGATGGAGGGACAAGTCTGGTTTGGAGTTCTCTCGCCAAATTGTAAATATTTTATATAGGTGTGTATGTGTTCTTTTTAGGTTATTTTATTCTTATTTATTGTATATATATTATTCTTCTGTATAATTTATTTTATTTATTGTACATATAGTGTAAATGTGATATGTGAACTCTATTATAAATGTCCTAGAGACAGATTGTAATATTTTTCAATAAATAAGTTTAAAAAGAAAAAATATTTTTATTTGTGCCAACGTTTCAACCCAAACATGTGGATCATCTTCAGGGCGTGGTTCGAGCACTGAAGATGACCCACACGTTTGGGATGAAACGTTGGCACAAAGAAAAAATAAAAAATTTATTTAAAAGACTGGGCCCTGAATATTTATCACACATGGTGATAATTCTGTATTTCGATTAATAGGTGAATAGAAAATGTATGTTAGTCGACTGTTCTACATATCATGGCTGAGATAAATATACAGGACTCAGTCATTATGAAGTTTTTATTAGTGCCGACGTTTCAACCCAAACATGTGGGTCATCTTCAGGACGTGGTTCGAGCAATGAAGGTATTCAAATACTAGAAGACCTTATTGAGTACTTGAATACCTTCAATGCTCGAACCATGCCCTGATGTTGACCCACATGTTTGGGTTGTAACGTCGGCACTAATAAAAACTTTATTATGACAGCGTCCTGAATATTTATCAACCATGATATATAGAACAGTCGACTAACTTCCTTCAATATGTATAATATATTATGTCTGTAATATAAGGTTTGCTGACTATGCTGTGTAATAGAAACTTAATATATTTAGACATTCTCTTATAACTTTTATAATATTAATGCAACCGTGTGATTTTATTTTCAATATTTAGTTCAAACCAGTGAGAAATAACCCTTTATTTTATTTTTTATGTTTGTATTAATCTTACTTTATTTTCTTAATTCCCCAAAAAGCCACCAGAATATCCATCCTCTTACCGTCCCATCTCTCTTTTATCCATCATGGGAAAAATCCTGGAAAAACTAATTTTAAAACGCCAGTACCCCATCCTAAATTCTAATCACATAATCCCAGATCACCAATTTGGATTCCGCTCCTTCCATTCCACTATACAGCAATGCCATCGTGTGGTAGACGTAGTATCCTCTGCATTGGAGCGCGGTATGTACTGTACGGGAGTCTTTCTCGACGTTGAACAGGCGTTTGATAGAGTTTGGCACCCGGGACTTCTATACAAACTCCGAAAATTCCTACCATCTACATACTTTCTCATTATCCGTTCCTACCTTATTGATAGATACTTTAAAGTAAATCACAACAATGTCTATACATCCCGCTTTTCCCAGTCTGCAGGTGTTCCTCAAGGTAGTATTCTAGGTCCTATCCTTTAGTCAGTTTATACAGCTGACATCCCAACCCATCCCAACACTGTCATCACCACATATG